ATTTTCTTTGTGGACTTGTCTTTGTGCTGTATTTCCTACAAGAAAAAAAAGAGTGAATTAATTCAGTACCGTAAAATACTCGAAATAATAATCCCAAAGAAGAATGTGCGAATGATGTAGTAAAACATCAGTAACATTCTCTTAATGAGTTATCATCGAGACAATATATTGATATAACGTACCTGTCCTATTAGCTACAAGTGAAACAAGCGCAAGCACCATCGAATTTAATACTACTAAAATAACCACAACCACCATCATAAGCAACACAATCATTTGTAAGACTAATAGTAGTAGTACCCTCATAACGACAAGCACAAGTAGTATCAGCAAAATAACCACCACAAGTAGAACCACTATTACCACCACAGCAATAATAACCACCAGGATATTTCTCAGCACCAGAATAACAGGAAGGACAACGATCGCGAGTAGTGCGACGACGACCAACACAAATTTTATTACAGCGAGCAGAATCAATAGTGGTAGTCGTTGTAGTTGTAGGGCGAGTAGTAGGACGCGGAGGAGGAGGGGGAGAACCACACATCATACAACTACAAGTACTATCGAAATAAAGATCACTAGAACAAGCGAAACCACTAAAACAATTACAACCAGACTGACGTTTCTTAATTAAATGATGAGCACCGTTATCAATCTCATCCTGATTTCCTACAGTCAGTGCCATGCAGCTTGTGGCCATAAACACCAAGAAACCGATTGATAAAAGCAATTGATTGATATTTTGCATTGTGTTTTGTTTCTGTTCGATGCTTGAAGAAAGATTAGTACACGAATATACGCAAATGTGTAAATGATAAGGCCTTATAGTGGTGCTTCGATTTTATATATACGACAAAAAATAAAAAAACGTAATTTTTTTCCAGGAATAAAAAGCAACAGATGCCCTTTTTCTCAAAGCCAGAGAGTCTCTATGACGTTTTTTAATTCATTTCGTACGCCATGGCCTTTTTGGTTTCAATCTGAATTTAAAAGAAAAAAAAGGCAGTTAGTGCAATGTTTAGAAGATTAAAATGTGAAACACGATATAGATGTTATAACTAATGCCGATGAGGTAGTTTGATTATAGACATAAAGCTATTGCTTGGACGCTGTAAAAAACCGTAGAAGAGGCGTAGGTGAACTAAACTAATAGGTTTTCTCGTCTGAGAAAGACAACGAGGGATTCTGCTGTAACTCTCTATTCTCTTCATATTCGTATGTGTTTTATTTTCGTTTTTGGATGCACCAAATCCAATTCCAGTCAAATCCAAAGGCTGTGGGTGTGGATGTAAGTGTGAGTACTTCTCTCGCGCTCACACCCACACTTTCCAAACTCACTGGGATGTCCAATTTAAGTATGAGTTTCTGTTAACTTACCGTAAAAAATATTTTATAAAAAAAACACGTAATAATCAAAATCATATGATAAAAATATATTTTCTCAAAAACGGACAAGCAAGTAAAATCATATATGAAAATGAAGTTAATAATTTGATAGATGACTATTGCAATATTCATAAAGTTAAATGTAAAATCTATTTTATGATCAATTCTTTTCATATGATCAAAAAATTGGATAACAAAATTGAGAGTGAGTCTCCACACGATTTCTGTAAGTATTACAGAAATAAAAAATAAAAGTCGTCATATGTTGTGTATTATCATTTATTTTATGTTTTTTTCATATAATATGATTATATTGATCTTACAATAGAATTTGCTACAATAGATCCTAATTATTTGAAACATTATGTACTGACGGCTATTCCACAAAAACTTCATATGGTTGAAGATTGATACATCTAGTATATTTTGATGTTTCCAGTGTACTTCATTATCAAAATCAAAACCTAGTTAAATTTTATGATCTAGTACACGAATTATTTTCATTACGTACCATTGCCCCATCTTATTTCGATAGAAGTATCAAAAAAAATACCATGTTTTCTTCTTGGATGTCGCACTTAGTCATAGTACTATAACTCTTTTTTATGTTTTTATGATTTTGATTCCTACTTTTACCGAAATTTTACCTGAGAAAATATTTAAGAACTTAGTGAAAACCAGCTCTTGGTACGAAGAGTTTTTTCGTGGCAGTCATGGAAGTAACGTAAAGCTACAGTGCAAAAACGTGACTATCCAGTCGTAGCTTCACGCATAAGAAAAAAAGAAAATTAAAACAAACAGAACGCAAAAGAAAAATGCAGAAAAGAGAAAGAGAGATAGAAAAGAGTCTGCAGTATATAACCACTGGGCTTGACTGATATTTTCATATTCGACAAGATACAATTCAGTTGCAACAAGAAAAGGTAAGTCACATTTTTACCACAAGCTATCGACTGTGAGAGCAGAGAAAGGAAAATTTTCGAATTATTAATATTTGGTAAAAATAGTGACGGCTTCTATCTTATTTCAATGCATATAGACTCACTTGATCACATAAATAATTTAGGTACATTAGAAATATTTGATGAGTGTTTGTGTAAGAAAGTTAAAGTAACTACACACACAACCTTCTATCTTTATTTTATTAACTCTAGTTCATAAATTTTTTTACAACATGCAATTAAATCGTGTGAGCGTTGTATTTTGCACGGTTTCAATCATTATATTGTCAGCTATGGTTTGGTTCTATTTTATGCCTAAAAAAGCATTTCTAAATGATGATCATATCTTACTGGGCGACACTGAAATCTCAATGTCCTCGAATGACGAAGATCTGTGGTATTTGAAAAACTTACCGGAATCACAAGAAACTTTCAACGAGATTCTTCGTATTGAGTCTCAGATCTTCTTTTCTCGTCGCATGTATCCCTGTCCTCAACATGCACTAACCGTTGGAATGCCATTAATCCCCAAATGGTTTCATTTGATAATGAAACAATTTAAGTCAATTGAAGAAAAGATCCATAGCAATCATAAAAATATGAAAAAATCAGCACCAGTTGGTTTCTCAGAACTCGATTGGAATCAAGAGAATTTACTGCCTAGAAATGATATAAAGATTGGGTACTATATCATTTCACATTCCATAGAAGATTTATGGCGAGTGAAAAAACTAATTCACGCCATTTTTGTTCGCGAACACACCATCATTGTAATACATTGTGACCTCCGAATACATACTTCAAGCGAAGTTTTAGAATTCAAACAGTGGCTGATTACAGAAGGGTTTCTATATCCATATGTATGGCTAATTGATATTGAACAATCACACATTGGTCGTTATCTATCAATATCAATTATTTATATTGAACTGTTGTGCCTTCACACTCTGCTCATTTCTCCATTCGGTTACACCATAGATTCTTTCATTAGTATGACACCTACAGATTTTCCGATCAAATCGAAACAAGCAATATTGAATCGACTATTTGTTTATCAGAAATATTCAATGTACAATAATGGCAGACTATGTCCGGGTTCATTTTGTTATCGTGTTAATAACTATTATTGTCATGATTTTGGTGTGAGTCCTCGGAGAGGTGAACCAAGTCCAATTTCACTCGATAATTTACTACTTGTGAATTTTACAAATAGTTTTCTGTCAACTAATGGAATGACTGCAGCAGAACAACACGTACTTCGCCTAGGAGCAGCATGGACGATGTTATCGTTTGAGTCTGTTTTTTATCTGTTTCAAACAATCAACAGAAATTTATTATATTATTGGTTAATATATTATCATAGCATCGCTGCCGCTGATGAATTCTTTCTTCAGACGTTCTATTATCTTGCGACAAGGCCATTCAATGATAATGAGCATCTCAAGTTTTATCATAATGCACTCAATTACTCATCAATCAATGGATCACTGCATCTTTGGGATGCCTTAGGTTATATGGACGACTTCGTAAATCAGTGGAGATACATACATTGGCGTGGTGAGCTAAGTCCTAGTATATTAGGCGAAGATATTACTCGTATGAAAAAGTCGTCTGCTCTTTATGCAAGGAAATTCGACAACATGGATTTGTTTAAGAACTGGACTATTGAAACAGGACTGTATAGAGACTTACGACCTTATGAGAAGTAGTAATACTAGAATATGTCTTTAAGATGTTATTAATTACTCTATTTTTTATTATAAATATAAGCTCTTTATCCAGATTCACACGATTTCTACCTATTGTCGTAGCAGATCGACAATAAAATCATTCTAAAAATATGGATAATTGTGAAATGTGCAGATATATGTGTCTCTAGCTACCATCATCATGGCTTCATTTCTATTATAAGACTCTTCAGGCAACTTTGATGAAAGTAAACTTGTTCCAAATGATTGTAAAAATCATAAGTAAAACCGACAATTATAATCTATTGAATGTAAAACAATTCCAAAGAAATTAAAGATAGATACCAAATATGAACACAGAAAAAAGATTGTGCCAATAGCGTTATCGTTTTTGTCTCATTTTATTCGGTTATTTTTTAGTTCAAACAAAATAGATTTTCTCTTACTTATTAAAATACAAAATATACTTTTAGAATAGACATTTATTCTTAATCAACAAGTTTTATAAAGATAAAATTTTGTGTGTGAGTGAAAGTGAGTGACAAATACAATACCTACCCTCACCCTCTTGTTTTTTTAAAAAAGATGACAAGTTTTAGAATGGTCATATAAAAACAATTATCTCAATAATTCTTTTTAGAAAACAACGAAAAAAACATCCTGATTTCTTCAACATTATTCTATAGCAAACAAGGGTAATTTATCTACACGTGTCCAAACATTCAGTCCAATTTTGGTACCATTTTCACCGGGCGGATGACCTGCATGAGTTGTCAAGTAATCAACTCGTCCATACTCATCCATGTTATAGAAAAAGATTGCATTTCCTGGTATTGGTCGAAATCGAATGCCACGTTCAGTGGATTTTTCATCACAAAATAAGATATCACAGAATCGTTCATGTAATGATCTATTGAATCGAATCGCAAGGAATTCAGTTTCACCCATGGAACAATTGGCTTGTAGATAGATAAAATATGATGTTACTCGTTGGCCACCAACTTTATCTTTCAGAAGCGGCGTCCAGTCATAGTGAGGTGCTACCTAAAATTTGAAGCTAAAAACTAGAATATATAGAAAATTGTATCATACCTGTTGATCGTTTGCATATTTTACTACTTGTAATGGTTCGATACAATCGACATCAACACCACCTTGAAATTGAGCAAATCGCCGCTCGATACATTGTATAATAGGTGTTTGATGACGTTGGATAATTGCTGTACTTGACGTGCGATAATTATTAACAGTGTCTTCCTCACCAGCTATTGAGAGTACTGAAGGTTTGAATTCCTTTTCACTGCTTCAAAAATGAGATATATGTATGTGAGATTCTTTTTACTTACGCCAGTTTAATTAAATGCTGCCTTTCATTTAGAGTAAGAAACTTTTCAATATAGATAACCAATGGTTTTCGTGAAATAATTCGAGTAGAGTATCGATGATGAGGACACTTATATTTATATCGAGATAAATCATAATTATTATCAACTTGTACCACTTTGACATCCTTCTTACAAAAGTTCGATTGTATAAATTGGTTCACTTGCTGCCGAACGTGCAACTTAACATCGTTTAAATATTCAATAATCTGAAGATGCAATCCAGTTGTTTGAAAAATAGTCTCTCGAAATTGATAGATCCTTACGAGACAGCCTAAGATCATAAGCCCAAAGAACACTATTCAACAAAGTAGAGATATATAAAACATTGTCACTTTATCAAACAATAATACCTTTTATTATTCGATGCATATATTATATAATGCCAAATAAAATATCTTCCATGATTGTAAAAACTTACGCTACAGAATGAGCACGTTGTGAGCAAATAAAAAAGAAAATTTTTGTCTACGTTTATGTAAGAAAAGAAATTATGTGTTGATTACTATAGCAACATTATTTAAAAAGAACAGAAAAGAAAAATGATGTTTCTTATGATATTAGTCATCGATGTATTTTTGTCGCTAACAAAATTAAATACATATACGTAGCATATATAGATTTATTAATCGAATAAAAAACTATCAGCTAAAACTAATAGTATGTACTTATAGTTACAATAGTAAACAAAAAAGATAATGTTAGAAATTAGTAGACTTTAATATTTTCTAAAATAGCATTTCGATCATCTGCACACATATGCTGTAAAATTTGTTTATTTCGTTGAATATCTTTTGAACGTATTTGAAGTGCTAACCATAATTTCTCCATATAACTTTCATATTTAGTCATCAGCAATTCAACATTACTATCTATATTTTCAATAAGATAAGCTAAATAAATAGCTGCTTCATAACCCATACTAATTGATTGAAAATAAGGACCACCCATTGCTGCATCACCTAATAATATCCAATGTTGATTAAGATCATTATCACTAACACTAAATGTTGTTTTTCTCGCACGATACATTTGTAAAGGAAGTGCAACAAATTCCATTGTATCAAAATGAATTTTAGCTAATTGTCCAAATGAAAGATTGTTAAGAAAAATATTTAAATCATCATAAATATCGCGATGACTTTTCTTTAAATAATTATAAGTTATAGATTCTTTTTTCGGCATTTCTTTAAATAGAGTTTCATCGATTGTTATTAAACAGGTAACCAATGTTTGTCTTTTTCCTATTTTATACGTATCATCAATTGATGGAATAACTTGATATTTTCTTGTATTTCTATTCTTATAATATTTACATAATTCATTACATTCATATCTATCATCAAATGTAAATGTACATATAAGTACATATTCAATCAATTGACCGTTCATATTATCTGGCTGAATATGATTGCGTAAGACAGAATGATAACCTGTACAATCAACGATAAGAGTATCAGGATAATGTCGAAGTGAATCTATATTTTTACTAATATCATATTGAGCACCTACTACAATTTGACCACCTGATGTTGTGAAATATTCTTGCAGAGCTTTTTGAATATTTTGAAGTGGTGTACATATTCCAAGCCAACTAGTAAGTTTTTGAAAAAGTTTTGGAGACATAGATTCGATGGCTTTGTGTCGTTCTTCAATTTGAGTTTCGGAAAATAAATTAATTCCACCAGCAGCATAATCTGATGAAAGAACTTCTCCCATTAATTTAACACATCGTGTTCGTGTCATTTCTTCTCGTTTTTCTACTATAGTAACTGCCACACCTTGGTCACGCATGAGACAACCTAGAATAATCAATTCATTAATAAAATTTTAAATTACCATAAAAATAATATTAATATACCCATTAGAAGACCTGTTGGACCCGCACCCATAATAAGCACACGTGTAATATCACGTGGCTTATTTTTTGGTGGCATGTGTATTTGATCTTCTAAGGCTGATGCACACGCCCATCGTCTGTTTCCACTGACCAAATAAGACCAGCTAACTAACATATTCTTACCTAAAACAAAAACGAAAATAATATGACTTAACATCTACTAAAAAAGCTTACCTGTAGCTGCTAGTTGATGTTGTTTGTTTTTATTAGTCATAGATTTTCGTTTTACGGATATAAGACGATCCCATTGAATTTGATCATCTTGTTCGACGTGTAGCTCAACTGAACTTGGTTCATTCATTTGATTCATCTCATGTTTAAGTTCAAAGATAGTATCTTTGAGTTGTTTTAAATCATCTTCAACTAAATCTTCGGTTTGTTTGAGATGAGTAAGTCTTTCAGAAAATTTCTTGAATCTCGTTGTAACATCAGTTCGTCTAGGACTCGATAGTTTAACTTGTTGACGAGTTTGTTCAGCAACTTGCATTACTTTCTCAATCATAATTCGTTGCCATTCATCAATTTGTGAGATGATATCACTGCGAGTATCTTCGTAATAATCACTATTATTGAATAACTCTTGTAAAACATTGTGCTCTTCTATATATACATTCAATTCGTTGAGTAATCCAGCATGATGATCAGTAAAATGTTTTCTGCAAAAATATGCTTTGCATCCTGCACAGAGACATGTTCCTGATCTTTTGCTGTTGCGGCACATTGAACATCTGTTTGGTGTGGCCATTTATCTGAGTAAAAGAATGTAAATGTTCTTTATTGTTTTTATAAGTTAGAAAACTATTAACATACCTTATGCAGTTCAATGATAGCACTGTATAACTGATATTCAATTCTCAAAAGAAAATAATAATAAATTAAACATATGAAAAAATCTTATTCTTTATCTTTTTTGTAAGTGTTAGTATATAAAATCTGCCAAAATTATTATTTGTAATGTTATTTAAGGGAGGTACAAACCTTACTGTAGCGTATTATTGAATAGTTTATTAATAAAATTTAACTATATGATGGTAAACTATAAATTTATAAATAAAATTGCATTGTTTATACTAGGGGTGGCACTTTATCTTTATTTTGCTTTGAAAAAATTAAAGT